CTGGGATACAACTCTATATGCACAATGCCTTAATAACTAAATGACCCTCAAATAACCTGGGTCATTTTTAAATGACCATGGTCATTTGGTCACGAGCCATTTTCAAATGACCTAAAATTGAAATGACCAACAATGACCGGTTATTTCGGTGTCATTTGAGGTCATTTAAAAAATTTGCAAATGACCAGATCATTTACTATCACTGGATAAAGAAGTAAAAGACCAACTATCTAAAGAGGTTAATGATACTACACGTTGGAAACAAACAGAAAGAGCCCAAAAAAAATATGAACTTTTTATTAAAATTGGTGTTAATAAAATATAACGGGTTAAATCTTATTCGGCACTAACTATTTCAAAATTAAGTTGTGAGAACATCGATTATATTATAGATAGCTTTAAATCATAAAATTATACATATACTGTGCCACTGTATCATGTAATATGCTAACCTGCTAGGTCAACAATTTTACCTTTTCTTTAGTAAATATCACGAAACTGTAATGATGAAAAAAATAAAATTTACAGTACACTTTCTTATTAGTTGGTATCTTTATCTTAATCACAAAACTGTAACGATAACAAATAAAAATTATGCTTTTTCGTTAGTTGGTATCTTATGAATTATTCTAAGTTTATCATGTGGTATAGCATTTATATATTTCAAGCGATATCCGTTTGATATTTTCTACATACTTTCCTGATACTTGATTGAGCGATTCCAGTTATACGTTGTGTTTCAGTTAAAGATGAAAATTCTTGGAAAGATTCATTATCAAAAATCTGTTTGACAGCACATTGACGCATCCAACTATTCTGAGGTCTGAGACGCACCGCATGTTGTATATTGTCTCTTGGTATACACCATTCGAGATTAGACACTTTGTTGTTGGTGGAATCGCTATCAATGTGGTTCACAAACTTTTTGCCCTCTTCTTTAGGGCAGAATGCTAGCGCCACCAAACGATGAACACGATATTTGTGAATATAGCCAATTCGATAATAGCCTGCATACAAAGATCCTTGAGTGATCATACCATTCAGTAACTGAACTCTGCCTAAGGATGAAACTCTAAATTTTTGTGAATTAACTTCTATTTCTTCCCATTCTTTATTGAGGTCTGGTTCAATATAATCTTCGTAATATATCCAACGCCAACTACCAGCAGTATTTCACTTTCTATTACAGCATTCTGAAATGCTATTTCCTGCGATTTTAAGCATTTTACCCGCAAGAGAGATTGAATTTCAAATTTGAACTACATTCCCATTCAATGTTTTCTGCATGATATACCTAGAGCTACCATGACCAATATTCGGGAATATTTTACATTCTGCATTCTCCTTAGGAGTTACCCATTCTAAATTAACAGCCCGATTATCATGTTTGATACCGTTAATGTGGTTAACGTAAGGCTTACTTGTGCAACTAGGATATAGATGCCAGTTGATATATGAATACTATTAATGCTTAAATCAATTCGTATATAACCACTTCTTTTGCAAACATTTTCTTTTAAAATCACATCTTTATTATTCTTGATACGTCCAAGATTAGATATTAATTTATTCGAATCCGCTATAGGTAACCAAATTTCTATTATTTGCTATTTATAATGAGTCATTTTTTTAAATGCTATATGATGCAGGAGCTAGATATTTACT